TGCATTTATTGTAGTCATCACGCCATTACTGGTGTCAATTGTTGGAATCCTGACGGTTTGCTCTACAGCGGCCTTTGGATGGATAATGATGACACTGGTCGCGTTTTTTTCAATGGTACTTGGGGCAGTTTTGCTTGCAAATCCGTGGGTTTACTCGGAATTGGGTATTTCCCATCAAACTCGAGTGCTGCTTGTGAGTGTTGGTACGGTGTGCACCCTTTTGCTTATTTCACTTGGAGTTTTTGGTGTTCACATCTGGCGCCTCCGTCGTCTTCGTGAGGAAGAGGCGATTATGGTGAATTCCACCAATGAAGGGTGTGAACAGAGGTGGGGAACTTCGTTGGCTGAAAAGGCTGTTATGCGGTCCGAGGTCAACCGGCGGGCACTTGCCGCATTGATGGCATATGAAAATGGCAACAAGCATTATCTGCGTCGTTGTCACTTAGCTGTTATTTTCCCACAAGCCGTTGTGGCAGTGGTTGGTTTTATAGCTGGCATTGTCTTTATTGGTTTGCCACCGATAAGTGATATTCGTTTCTTTCAAGTAAGTCGCGTTGGACGTATGGCTGGTTCCATTTTGATTTTTGCTGCCCTTCTTACTTTTATGTGGGTCACTCTCGGTATTTTCAGGTCGGGACGAAAACTTCAGTTGAAGATGTACGATCTTCTGTCAAGTACTGTTCTGGGCATCATGATGATTGCCATTTCTCTCATTTATATTCCAGTGTTGATGAACATGATAAACGCTATGCGGTGCATTGAAGTTAATTGCGGTGCTGGGGAATGGATGCCACCTCCGGGTACTTTGATACGAAGTTCCAGTGGTTCCGCTATCTGGGAAAAGTCTGCATATTCCTGCTTCCCCTGTGACTTCTCCATACACACGCAGAACTGTCCAGCTGACCTGCAGATGAGATTGTGTGGAAGATTGGACGTTCATAGACTTCTTGCATACGATCAATCTGTTCCATGTAATGAAGTAAATGTTTTTTACAAAGCCACTATGGTAGTCATTCTTCTCTCTTACACTGTTGCGTATCCGATTTTCTTAGTTGTGGTGGCACACCGAGGAACGACGATTTTAGAGAAGGAGTACCCGCTTGAAAAGCGTCTGCTGGATGAATTTACCGAGAGGGAACTTTATTATGAAAAAGTCCGAAAGTCCGCGAATGTCTCCGCTCCAGTATACCAAGCATACAGACGCACCTACCGTAAGGCACGTCTCACATTTCTTCTTCAAAGGGTTCTTTTAGTGGCGATTAGTTGCCTGATGAGCCAAGGGACTAAAGAAAGTTTGTCATGGCTAGGCTTAATGCTTATTCTTCTTGTTTCTATGTTATACTTTTTGTACACCACGTTGCTGCACCCTTATGCCCGTCCTGTGGAAAATTTATATGGGGCCGCACAACAATTTGTAATTGTGTGTGTAGCCTCCATTGGGTTGGTAGGCAACCGAATTGGAAGGGATAATATTCCATTCGCAGTGTCTGTGTTTTTTGCTGTCATTGTTTTTGTTGCGCCTCTGGCAGCGCTTATCATTGGTCTTGTTCGCACCTTCCGGAAAGATCGTGAACGTGCGGAGCGGTTGCAACGACGTCTTCAAAATGGTTTTGCGGTGGAAAACAAAAGCTCTCGGGGCGTCCCCACCACCCCCACCGCCCAAAACGTCAGGAATGCGAATCCCAGTCTTAATGTTGTTGGGGATAGCGTGGCTCATTGGATGGATGGGGACATCAAAGTTTTTAATGGCAGTAACACGGCTACCGAGAAGCGGGAAAGGCAGGACGGGATGGACACACTCAGCAGGAATAAATCCCCCAAAGGAAGGAAGAGGAGCTCTGAAAGAATCCTCTCGAAAACGCTATCCCGAGAAGTGCGAGAAATGGGCAACGACACATCTGCCGACCAGAAGCAGCAAAAGGAGCACGAGCAACTGTTACATCGAAATAGCCCCTACTTGTTTTTAGCACCAGGACCCAATGATGGATCATTGTCCAGGCGGAAAAATTCTGCGCAAGGGCTGGATTCGTCTGAAGCCGCGGCAGAGAGAATCATGAGAGATCTCATTGTGGAAGTGAGCGGTCAGGATAACAATAGAAGTGAACGGGAAGTGCCATTTGTACAGGAGCAGAGTCCAGGTGTGGGCACAAATAATGGCGTTGATTTCCCTGAGGATGATTACTTCAATGATTCTCGGTTTTTTCTTCCCGCTGCGTACTTCCGCGGCTTTGAGGATATGTCGCTTCTCTCAGAGGACCTGGAGCAGGATGAGGAGGGGGAGGAGGAAGAAGATCACAGGAAGCAACGGCACGTGAAGGGAATGAGGAGATGGACGGGGGAGGGGACAATTCGGAGCCTTATTACCCTCTTCTCCACATTCCGCGGACAACTTTCACGTGGGTCCAATTCCGTTTCGCAGAAGGAGCCGCTGAAGACGGAGACGGAGGAGCCTGCTGCCACCACCCTTCGTGGAGGCACAAAGAGGGATAGGGACGGGACAGTTGCAGAACAACAACAAAACAGCACAACTAGCGATGTGAAGAATTGTACATACGCCAAGACCCCTCGGAATGGGGCATTTTTCCGCTGGTGGAAGCGTTGGCAGAAGGTCCTCAACATTTCTGACTTCTCGCTGAAGTATAAAGATGTGCTTGAGAAGCGACGGAGTCTTCAGAAGTTTACGGGACTTCGCGACCGGCCGTTTTGGCTATTACCCTCAGAAACACAACAGCAGACGTACAACATCCCAGGAAGCTGCGTGCCATGGTACTGTGCGAAAAACAACCGCGTGTTGGCCACCGATAGAAATGCTGCCGGGGAACTCACGACTTTTGCACGGCTGAAGGAGCGGAAGAATTTGAAATATCCTCCTCTTGTGGTGAAGAGGAAAGAGTCTGTGTCACTGGCTAGTATCCCCTCGATTATGGAAGCAATGTCCTTTCGCTTTGGAAAGGCCGAAACCGACAGCCCCAGCAGCACGGAAAAAGAAGGCATGCGTCTCAGTTCCACAAAAAGGACCGTGGCGCAGCACAGTCCCAATGAAAATACACCCATAAAAAGTTCGTTTAAACGCGCCTCGAGAAGGGCATTGGTGTCAGTCGAGGATCATCCGACAAAGGGAACTCCAAGGGAGGAAAAAGAAATTTCGGATCAATCCAATTCAATGAGACAGACTTTTGAATGCACTACAAGTGCAAAAAAACAAATTGAAAGGCTTGAACGTTTATGCAAGCGGAGTCTTCAAAATCCGGGGGCTGGGCAACGCCGCCCAACGGTGTTTGCCCCTGTCTTTCCAAAGGTACACTTGGAGGGGGTGGAGGTAAGCGACTGGGATGAATTTATGCAGCAACTCCTTGCCGAGGTCTCTTGCCCGGCTGCAGACTCGAGAGGGGCACTCTTAAATTTTTCTTTCCCACCGAAATCTGAATCCCAGTCTAACTCCATGCCGGTGAAGCGCGACCGGGCTGCTACCACGGTGACACACGAAGATGACAAGAAGAAAAAAATAAAAGAAGGAAAGGAGACCCCGGAATTATCCAGTCTTAAGGAAATTGAGGAAGTCGGGCATACCGTCTCTATGGATTCAAGGTTGTCCAATAACGTCCAGCTGCTGCTGCGCCACTTTGTTCTGCGTCGTCGCCTTTGTGATGTATTTAAGAAGCAAAAAAATCGACTTCGTGCGCTTCAACAAGCCGTGGATTTTCGCATTGCGGTTACCATAAAGAAATACATGCAGTGGTTCTTTCTTGCCCTAAGTGTGTGCACAACGGTGGCACTTGTCCTCTGCCTCTCTGGAATGCTTTACGGAATGAAGGAGGATTTTGTGGATGGCGTCTGGCGCGACAACAGCGTGGAGCGAGAGATGATGGGATATAGCAGTTGGGAAAACTTTACAGTGCATTGTTGTTGTCTGTCCATTGTAAATCTCACGGCGACTTACCCGTATTACCTTCTTGACGTGGAGAATTGGCTGTGTGAGGATGGTCGCGTCAAGCAACGAGTCCGGCGCGATGCGTACGAAAGTACAGTCGTAAGTGGATACAGGGTGCGGGATCTCTGCGGGATGACCTTTCGTAAAGGCTGCAACCCCACCGTAACATCCGAGAATCGTGTGGAACTGCTGGGATGCAGCGAGGAGTTGTCAGAAATGGAGAAGAAACGCTGGTAAACACATGTGTGACGTTTACCCAATTCCTCTGTGTGTGTGTGTGTAAAATATGGGAAATATCCGCTACGCCGACCGCTACAAGAAAAGAAAAAGGGAGGGAAGCGGAGTTTCTGTTCCGTATGCGGTGAACACACACACCGGGGGCAAATATGCATAAAATTACATGTATGTATTTTGTGCGCAAGAACAAAAAAAAAAAAAAGGAAAGAACAGTTGTTTCGTTTTGCTTTATTCATTGCTCCCATACATTTATCTTGTTTTTTTTTTTGTTGTTGTTATTAATTTATCCTTTTTTTTTTTTGTGTGTGTGTGTGTGCTTTTATTATTGTTGCTGTCGGAATGTCCGACGTATGAGGAGGAGGAAGAAGGGGGATTTTCCTCTTTTTTTTTTTTTTTTTTTTTTTGGGGGGGGGGGGAAAGGTGCTGCCCCCCTTTACTTTTTTGTTTTTGTTTTGTTTTCTTTCTGCTGTCCCCATCATCATCTCTGGAAGAGTGTGTGTGGCAGGAGGAGAGGTAAAAGGAGAGCAAACATTACAGTCCAACGAACACCGTGACGATGAAATGAAGAAGGAAGAAAAAAAAGCAAAATTTTTCTGTGGGGATGTTTGCTGGATAGTGCATGGAATAAAGAATGCATGTGGACGAGGCTCTTTTCTCCCTTTTCCATCTTTCTCTCTCTATTTCCGTGTGTGTGTGTGCGTGTGTGTGTGTTATTTTCTGCTGGTTGTATCCTTGTTATTTCGATGGGTGTTATGCCGGCATTTTTTATGTTTCCTCTTCTCCTTTTCCCTGCTTTCCCTGTATACATGTGTAGGTTGAGGTTCAGAGGGAAATGATTTACGATGTGCTGGAGTTAATAATGAACTACACGCAATACTTGCACCTTATGGTGCTGATTGCCCCAAGTATGTTTCCTACACTCTACAGTTCTCTTTTTTGGGTTGTGGATATTGTGATGAATGCCGTATTCTCAAACGGTGGTGACCACAATATGAGCAATCAAACTAAACCTTCTCAAGAAGCCGAGGGTATGTCTGCGCAAGAGGGTGTGTTGGGACTGCAGCTGCCATCATGGGTACCGGTTGATGTACGCTTGTTGTTCGCCCTCACAAACATTTTTGCTCCTCTTGTACTAGTGTTTCTATCAACGTTACTGCTTGGACCACCTCATTTTGCGGCTTTTGTCTACCTGCTGTGCGCATCATTCTTTTGGATGATAGCGGGCATTTTGCTTCTACTACTTTTGCTGGGGAAATTGCGGGACACGGATGCGTTATGGCAAAACGGTCAGACGATATTGGCCATAACTCACGCCCTATCATTACATGAGGCGGTTGTCATGACGGCCATAAGTGCGTCGGCTGTCGTGTTGCTTCTTGTCATCGGTGTTGTTCTGCGCCTTGTCTTGGGAGCACGTGAGCGGGCACGCGTGCTGGAACGGCTACGGCAACTTGAATGTGCCCCATGTACAGAGGAGGAACGTGTGGCACGGCGGCTGTTGCAATTTGACTCCACAGGTCTTGAGAATGAGGAAGAGATGGAAAAGGAAGCTCGGGTTCGGCGTGCCAGGGCGGAGATGGCTTACCAACGACTGTTTTGGAGTCGATATAAAGAGACACACTCTTTATCGTTGCCGTGGACGTTCATAAAACTCATCATGTGTATTTTATGCGTTGCTTCCGCATTTGTATTTGCACTGGCGCCCAAAATGGATTTTTTGAGGGCAATTCAGACTAGACATGTGTGTTATCCTCTTGCTGCACTGTTGTTCCTTCTGGGACTCCTGTTTGTAGCCTCCTTTCTGTTGGGATTAACGCGAAAGGGTCGGCAACGTCTCTTTAGGATCAAACTGTGGTTACGCCACATGTTCTTATATGTGGTGCTTCTTGCGGTCTCATTCATGTACTCCCCGATACTGAGAAATGCCATCAGCTTGTTTCCCTGTCAGACCGTGGCATGCACGGTGTTCGATGGCAGCAGCTACAGTGATGAAGATACATCGTCCATTGGTTCGTATGCCGCCTGCATGCAGAGGAAAACCACGCACGTCTCCTGCCTCTCTTCAGACCCAAATGTGCCGTGCAATGGTATCGATGGTTTTTTAATGGCCTCCGCTGTTCTTGCGACGTCTGCCTATGCAGTTTTTTTTCTCCTTCTTTACGGTTTAGTTGCCCGACAGGCGCTGCGTGCCCTTCAAAGGTACCCATTAGCCGACTCGGTGACAGCATCATCAACTCCGTTTGCATGTAAGGAAGAACAAAGAACAGGGATTGGAAGGAGATTTGATGGCGATGTTACAGACACCCCTCCCACCATGCCGATGGATTCATTGTTCGCCACCAACGCATCCGCACTCACGGCTTCACGTGTCAAGAAGGCGTCGAAAAAAATAGATGTGCTCTATCGTGAACGTGTATCCTCCTCGCGGAATGAGGCACAATTTCTTTACGCCCCGTATACCTATGCGTTCCGTTACTTCAAACTTGTTGTGCTGGCGCAGAAGACGCTCATGGTCATTATATCCACACTGATGCGACAAGGTAGTGGTGTGGCGAGCCCGTGGATGGGGTTTGCTGCCTGTGTGTTGATTCATGCCGGTTTTGCAGTAGTCTTAATTGTCTGTCGACCCTACGCAGAGCCGTTGGAGATTGTGGTAAGTCTCGCACTTCAGGTGATGCTTTCTGTCGTTGCAGCGATGGGTCTAACCTCTGCCTTGGCCTCCACTGCCGTCCCTGTGCCGCTGTGGAGCTTTGTGACCTCCTGTCTCTTCTTGGTTCCCTTCGTCGCTGTGATTGCTGGGGAAATTCTTACTTTTCGGCAACAAAGTCAACGAAAGGCGTGGCGCGAAAAGGACGCAAAGCAGAGTTCATGTCGTTCCAATCGCCACTTCTGGAGACGGTGGGGAAATTGGCTTGTGGGGTACTTTCGAAAAGCACGGCCTGTGCCCTCGTATGAGCGTTGCGGCGGCGACCGTCTCGGAAACGAGGTCTTCATCCCCGCCCTGTACTTTGTAAGGGATAAGAAGGAGACGAGGAAGTCGGTTGGCGGCGGGCCGAGTTTGACACGGGGACGTGTGGCTGACGCCTGCACACGTACTCCAGTCGACGACACAGTGGTGCAATCTGCGGCGCACTCGGATCTCGTGGATATTTCAAGGGTCCCTACGAACAGCGGCTGTCGATTCCTACAGGAGCCACGAAGAAATGTCACGAGCGATGGAAAGACGGGTGCGAAGCGGCACTGGGCCCTTCTTCGCGATGCGGTTTATTCGGGCCATTTTTTGACAGTTTTTGATTCACACCGGAAAAATTCTTTTGAAGTTCCTACAGCTTCGCGGCGCGGAGTAAAGAACACGGCAAGAATGCCATCTTTTTCGCCCATGCGGTTTCCGGAGGAGCAAACCTTTCACAGTATTGCCATGACGACTCTCCTCGCTTCCGTGGCAAATGAAAGCCGGTGGGAGAAGTCGCCGTATTTTAGTCCGAGCAACAAATTTGGAGAGTTGCAGAAGCAGCAGGCGCGCAGGGGGTTGGACGTGTCATTTTCACCCCCGCATGCCACTTCGCCGCCCCGGGAGGCACGCCGACGGGAGGCCTTCCTGGAGCGTGTTCGAGTATTTTCAGCCCGTCAGCGCCTGCTCACGCTGCATTATCGTCGAAAGCGGCACCTTGTGCTGCAGCAGCGTGCTGTGGATTGTTTCATTAATGAGCAGGTGGCGCAAACAATGCGGCTCCTTTTGCTTTTTCTTGGCGTCGTAGCGGCCATGGCGGCTGCACTTTGCATTTGCGGGATGATTCACGTGGAGGGAAACTCCCTGGCGTCCCCACAGGAATGTGCCATAACGTAATAATGCGGGGAGGTGTTATTTTGTGATTTGTTGTTGTTGTTGTTTTTGTTTTCCACCATGCAGGCGATGGGGTGTGTGTGACGGATGCATGGAGTGGCGCTGAAGAAGAGGCGTTCAGTTCAATTGTGGAGGG